TTATTACATAGTAGGACATAACCCCTTGCAGGTGATGCAACTTTAGGTGATGCTAAAGTTGAAACCACCACCTTAGCTGAATATAGGATCTATTTTCCTCACTACAGTTGCCTAATTTTATATCAGAGATTTTTATAATGAAAAATTATTAAGTAAGCACCCCAGTTCTGTTGTGGGAGTTTTGCACCACTTGGGTAACTACAGTTACTGTAGCATCAACTCTGGCAACTCTATGCAGGAGAATCTGTTGGACAATTCTTCACTGCTCCCATCTGTACTTGCAAGAATGTGATATGCAGTTCTTTACAGGTAGCATAATTTAGAGTAGTTCAAAGGCAGTTTAAAATGTGGAGTTGCCTACATGAACCTGAAACTGACTTTAGTTCTCATGTGTTTTAGTGTTGTGCAGCAAATGACTGCTGTTTGCAGTAACTGAATTGGTGAAGGAAGCAGAAAAAACTTCAGTAAAATTTTATGGATTATTTTTTCAGATTGTGACCTACATGAATACTTACATGCTTTTCTTGATTTAATTTCCATCTACCAAGCTGATGACAGGTTTTACTGGCACGTACAAGTGCAATGTCACCTTTCCAAAGTGATGTTTTTAAGATGTATGATAGATAGGAAAAAGACAATTTTTCTAAGGCACAATATGACAATGGAGCATATTCTAACTATTTAGCCCAGAGTCTGTACTGCATGTAAATCAGAGGAGAATTCGGCCTATGGGACCATGCTTATCTCTGGGACAAAAAGCACACCTTCATCAGTAATGTTAAACATGCAAGGAGTGTGGCCAAATTTTGCATGTGTGGAAGGAGTATGTTCTCAGCCAGTTTATTCATCTTTTAGGCATTGTGTTGTAACATATAATTAGATTTCTACTACATAGCTAATCATAGAGAGTGTTTTTATATGAGGTAGAGAGGCTGGCTGCCATCCAAGCATTTTTACTGCATTAAAAGTAAATTTGTTGATAGTGTTATATTTATATTAATAATAGCTGTGGTTGAGAGTGTTCTAGCTGGGAGATCGTAACACTATGTTTTAACAGTCATATCCAAAGGGTCAACAACTTTAAACACTTCTATTTGAAAAGAGGTCGAAAAAAAAATACCTTTTGTCTTTTTGAAAGCTTCCCAGTTTAGTTTTCTTATGGTTATTTTTAGTGTTACCTCTATTAGTTCGGTGATGATAATGCACTCAGGACATACATCAGAATGGACACAGGCCAGAGGAGCTCAGCGTTGAGGAGAGGTAATAAATTATATGTTAGACCAAATGTATTCCTAATACAGCAGTGCACCAAATACGTTTTTGTATTGATGGGTAATGTAATACTCCCTAAAGAGCTGATTGAGACTACCTGATCATTGGGAGGCATATTTCTAGGGAAGAAAGTGATTGCTTTCAATATAATGGAAATCTTGGAAGAAGGCATCTTTGTGTTCCACTGATCTGTAAGAGTAACCATGTAGAAACAGAAAGGGAGAATGCAGCAAATTAGGTCAACGGAACAGAGATTTTTATCTTAGAAACTTAAAAAGCAAAGAAATTGAGTGAAAACCTAGCTTCCCTGAAATCAGCTACAGAACTCTCATTTACCTGATACAATTTTGCCTGACAAATCAGAGTTTATCTCAACTAGAACTCTGATTTAAAAAGAAAAATCTAAGTAGACAAATTCATTGTTATTATAATGCAGAACAATAATCTAAAGTCTTTAACCCTGGTATGAAATAGCTTGTTTTCCCATCCTCAGCCTTTTCTAGACCAATGCTGGCTTCAGGGGATTTGTTACACTTGGATGAAATATGTGAGACAAAAAGCTCAATGAATCATGCAAAAAAGCAGTGAAAGTGCTAGGAGGTGCAGAGGGAAAGATTGCCTGTTAGAGAATTAAATAGAAGGGAGACTAGAAAGGAATAATTTTTTGAACACGTAAACATATCACCAGAAACAAAAACCTCCAGCTCTACAAAAATATACATTAGAGATTTAAACTAATTTTAAATGCTGTTTTTTTCCTGATGTTTTCTAATAGAGGTTTATATTTGATCTATACCTATTAATAATGAAATCTTCCCATGTTAAGAAGCTGTACTGGACCTTTGTACTCCTTAAATCTCTCTTAAAAATTCCAAATTAGGTGTGAGACAATAAAATACTGTGCATTTTTGTGAATAATGCCATAGACTACATTTTCTAGTTTTTTTAATGAGATCAAAATAGAAGTAATCTTCTTCTTCAAATGAACAGTGAAATGCTTTCTCCATGGGTCAACAATGTCCCATTGTTTTGTTATCACCTGTATGCTTTAGGCAAATATTTCATTTCCTATTCAGTTGCTATACTGCACTGGTTCATTATACAGAGAGTTGTCTGAGATAGGTTACGTTTATATTCAAATGTCACACTATGATTCATTTTTTAAAAGATCCTTCGATAACACTAAATAGCCTGATTAGAAATATATCATTATGGTATGTTATGTCAACCAGATCTTTATAAGGCAACACTGAAACTGCCTTTAATGTTTATCTTCAGTGATGTCCAGAAAAAGAGACTGAAGCCAAACATGGTCACGCCAAGAGTGGAAATTTGAGGAGTTGTCTTCCTTTATAATAAACACACTCAGTTGGGTGCACAGCTGCTAACTAAGGAGCCAAAGCTCTAGCTTCCTGTTACCTGGGAGAGTCTAACTACAAAACCAAACCAGACTAACTTTCAAAACTACAAATATAGGGCCAGGATTAATTTAGGCATGGTCCAACATACTCAGTCTAAAACAACATTGTGTCCCTAGGCAGGGGGGATATTATATACAGATCCAAAGGGCTATTAAATGAAAATAAGGTACTGTGCTTCCAGGGGTATTTACCTTCAAAATCCTAACTGACCTCATTTACCTGATCTCCTTTTAAAATACCATTTGGAAAAAAAAAAAAAAAAAAAAAAAAAAACCAAAAGCATACCAAGCCAAACCCAGGCTCTTCTTAGAAATGAAAGTTTAACACATAAACAGAAAAATTTCCCTTTTAAGTCCAACTTATGTAGCAGATCTCATTAAATGAAGATCTAGAAAATCAGGTAGAAAAATACTATATATGCGTCCATCTTCCTTGTTATAAAAACTAACGTTATGATGAACTAGGAAGTAAAACTGTCTTCACTGTATTTAGATATTGTAATTGCACCGCAATTTCCTCCATTTTGAAATATTTTAAGACAATACAGGAAAAAGGTTTTAAAAAAGTAAAAACTGAATTTAATTAGTGTCTAGTGAGTTGCCAACATTCATGGCCCAGTCATTCCAATAGGAAGACCCCTACACCAGAAGTTTGAAAAAGGTTTCTTTTGCTTTGTGTGCATCATAAGATTTTGCCATGGGGCTTAATATCTGATCATTAAATCTGTATTTTAGATTAAATTTGTCTTCCAAGTTTGCTGATTAAATCTCTTCTTTTTATCTTTCATTTTTCTGTCCATTACTTCCTATCTTTTTTTTCCATTTTTCCTAGTTTAGGATACTGTTTTCCATAAATACTTAAAAATGAAAAGTTTGATTATTTTGCATATGTTGTACTGCACAGAAGAGGGTGGGCAAACCAATTAAAATCTAAACATGGCACTCAAAGATAATAGTATGAACTGAGTATATTCTTGCCCCAAAAGCAGATTCTGCATTCATTCTCAGTATACAGGTAAATTTAAATTTTTCAATCAAGTTCAAGTATCAGTCAAATAATCAATCAATCATCAATGAAATGATGACTGAATGGTATAAGATGATAAGCAACAGGAGGATGCATGAAAAAATGCACAAGATCCTTTCTGCATTTTCTCTGGTTCCTGCCTTACCTGTTCTCCCATTCTGTGCCTTTTTTGCTTTCTCTCCCCTCTTCCCCCTGACTGTCTTCTCTGCTTAATTTTCAGGGACCACACACTTTTCTATGGAAGTGTCAGGAGATGTTCTTTAGAGGCAACAGGTGAAAATACTGTTTTTCTTGCTTAAAAAATTTGATAAATTGGTTTAAGAGGGGCAAATCCTTCCTCTGCCTCTCCACCTAGTTTTGCACCTCCATTAGAAAGGACAGCTGTCCCAGAAGAAAATAACAAGTTTCTCTTGTCCTAGCACAGGCTGATGTTTCATGACATATGCACAGGAAGTCTGAGAAGCCAAAAACCTTAGCAGATACCTTTTAATGGTCTTTTTTGGGGATTTCTTTGCCTAGTATTTCACCAAACAGTGAGGTATGCAAAATTTCATGGAAGAAGTGGGGAGGGAGTTTCCATGGAAGGAGTGGGGAGTTTTCTCCTTTCTTTATCCCTTGAAGCATTTTGATCAGTTCTGAGTCCTTTGACTTGAACGGTCAGACAATTCACCAGTACGAGACAGAAGTCTTGTAGGAATTCATTAAGTGCCATTGCCCACACTGTCAAACTTTCATATGACATGCTGTAATGTGCTTTTTGTGCACTTTGCTCTTGGGCATCTGCAGAAGAACATCACGTTAAGACAAACTAAGGCAATGTTTGCGTGCCAGAGCTCTGTTTGAATGAGATTCATATACCCCTAATAACTAAAATCACATCCAAAGCATAGCTTGATCTACAGTGATTTTTGGTATAGGGATTTATAGTCACCATGGTTTTGAAAAATGGACAGCACTAAAATAGTATGTCTAAAGTGCTTACATTCTTTTCCTTCATGTTATATCATAAGGTCATGGCAGACAACAGCAAAAGTTCAGGCATCTGTCTTTCGGACAATTTAAAACCTGCATTATAACTGTCACTCTCCAATCAGAGTTTCATTTCCACTGCAAATCAGGTTAGAAGTCCACATATTTTTTCTAATTTGTGCAACTAGCATTAGAGGATACAATTCTTTCTTGCAGTCTGCTCCTCCATATGTTTTTCCTTTATTACACTTACAAAGAAAATGGTTTTCTCAAACATTGTATTAACTCCAGTTTTGTCTCCTATTCTTGCAGACACCTCCAGCTCATCCTGGCCTGTGTTCACACAGCTGCCTCCACTGCTTGTCATGGGACTCCTTGAGGCTGAACATGACTCCAAAGAACAAGCAGGAAAGCACCTGCAGACTCAAGCAGCTCTGATGAACTGCCTGGAAGTGAAAGGAAAACAATTAAATGGAGGAGAACATAATTTGCCCTTTTTCCTAGTTTCTACCATTACATTACGTTACAAGAGGGTTCAGAACTCAGGAATAGATGTTGACCTATGAGAATGCAAGGCACAGACTGTATATGCATTTGCAACTGTGTTGGGGAGGATCAGAGGATAAAAGCAAATTTAATCGTTTTTATTAATTAATCAGCTGCAAATCTGCTTCTTGTAACTGTGTAAGGGTTCTATTATCTGCTTTCTAGGAATCAGCTTCCTATTGGTATTAATGAGAATTATGTGAGCTTAGTTATGATGACATTATTTAGTCATGGAAAAACATTTATCTATTCTAAGTAATCGAACTGTAGTTTTCTAGGACATGCATGTGCCCTTTTTTCAGTAATAGATGCATCTATGGTTTGCAGGAACACTTGCTAAATACAGTGTGGTATTGATTTCAACGTACAAAGTGGCCAATCCTTTTTTTCTTAGTATTTTCATCACTTGGAGCAGCTTGATTCTGATTATGTGTTACACTTCTACCTAATTGAAATGTTCTCATATGGAAAATTTTCTCGTGTAGAAAACAGAACTACAGATGCAAAGTGGGTTTTTTTTTCAGTGACTCATCTATTTCTACGGATTTCTAAAATAAATTGTTATTACCTAGAGTAATTTTTAACCACACCTTATACCTCAAGTTCTGCTAATCTGGAATCTTGATTTCTGCTGTAGATGGATGGGGGGATAACTGATGAACTGATTATTCTGTTGAACTGATTGTTCAACACAGTCAGATAAATTTTTACCAGGTATTACTAGTACAGTAATGGTATTGGGAAAAAGAAGTCAGGATTAGCATCTAACCATCCTAGTGTTTCTTGCTTATTTAATTTGGGAAATGACATCCTCATGAAATCTGTTTTTCAGCCATAAAGGATGATATCTCCCTGGTCCATGGAGGAAATTGTAGCTCTTACATTCCCTTCCTTATGCAGGCGCATGTTTGTCAATCTTCCATCTTGTTCTTAATCAGAGGAAAATTCAGCCAAAAAAATGCAAGACTAAAATCTATTTTAGTCTACTGCAGTGATTAAAAGGTGAAGTTATAGTTAATGGTACTTTGTTTTGAGGAAGGTTGTTACAGCAGCATAAAGACACACACACCTATATACCAAACAGCACTGCCACATCTAACAAAAAAAGCTTGATGCTGCCAGCTTCCTGGTGAAAATCCCTCTTAAATCATAATAAAAGACTAAATCCCTAGCATAATACTTTCTGAAAAGAAAAATACAGCCTGCCAGGATCCTGCCTTAGCTGGGAGGTAAGGAAGATTTCATTCAGTCTTTATCAGTGTTTATGTCCATGCCCTTTCTGTACAGATGGAAATGTAGTGAAGCAGAAGCTATTTGGGAAATTGAAGGAGGCTGGCAAAGACTTACAGCAAGATATGAAAATAAAAGGCTCAGTCCTATGTGCTAGAAATGGCAATGCAAACTAGCTCCAAATCTGGAATGAATCTTTCACTTTTTCAAGTGCTGTTACTTTGTTCATTGTTTGTGGGTTTTTTCCGACAGTTTCCAGTCTTGAATACTCACTAATAAAAGTTCTTAATCAAATGGCTGTCTTATATTGCAGTTGCATAACAAATGGATAGCTGACCAAGGAGAAAGAAAACTAAGATGTCAAATTATTGTTTCTGAAGGTTTGTTGAACTTTTATAAGACTGTTTAATGTGCCAGTGTCAGGGCTGGCTTCTACCATGTATTCTTCTGGCTCCTGTACTAATAATTGTTGTCTCCTGAGGGACTGAAACAGTATGACCTTGGATATTTGTTTTCTATTAAATATGGCATATGTCTGCAGTCTTTCAGAAGTGTGTATATCAATATATTGGAAACCATAATTGAAATAATTAAATGCTTGTGCCCAAACATACATAAGTTCTTGAAGACTAAAAAATTTTGGTTCCATAAAAAAAACCCAAGAAGAAAACCCTCAGATCCCTCTACGCAGGTCTACAGTCTCAAAGTCAGTGCTTAGAAAATCCAGCTAAGCTTGACAGGAAAGCAAGAAAGGAAAGACAACATATGGACATACTACAGTCCTCAAGGTATTAACTTCTCTATGTTCTGCCTTAATCTTCAGCTCTGCCCTTCCTCCACCTTACATGTATTGCCAGAAGGCTCACCCCTGTCCACTGCACTGTAGTGCTGATCCAGGACTCACACTGATGTTTTCCAGAGGAAAGGCTACTTAAGAGTATCTGCCTCTGCCCCTCGCACAGAAACTCTTCTCATCCACTTAGAAGAAGTGAAGGGCTGAGCTGAAATAGTTAAAACATCTTATTGTTATTTAATTTAAAACAAGATGAAATGCAAAATGAACACTTAGTGTGAAATATGTGATTTAGAACAGAGTATCTCCATAGTCCCTTAAGCCCTTCACAATTAAAACATCATGACAGATTTTAATATTTTGGAATCTTTCCCAATACTACTTCCAGAAAAACCTTGAAGTTCAATATATGGAAAAGTTTATAGGTTGTCTAGTCTATTCCATGCCAGGATTATTTTCAATGGTATTATGCCAGTTTTCCAGCTACCTCCAGAGCAGCAGCCTATTTTTTCTCTTTGTCAAGAATAGTATTTTACTGGCAAGAATAGTATGAAAAAAAAAATACTGCAGTAGTTTTGATGGAGGACAGCCAAAAAAAAAAAAAAGGACTGGAGTAAGGGAAAGAAATGGAGAAGAGAGACAATGGAGAAAATATTGAAATAGAATAAAAGGAAAGAAATATGGCAACAGCACAGGAGTATAAATAAGACATTAGAAAGCAAATAGAAAATTAGCAGAGAAAATGGCAAACATCCAAAAAGGAAAGAATTTTAACTGGAAATTGGTTAAAAAAAAGGAAAATAATTCTTTTTAAATCTTAAAATATGTTATGTTGACACATAATTGCCAGGATGAAAGACAAAAAAGATAAGAAAATTTAGTCATCCTTTTTATTTATCCTTTTTTTCCATTCCTTGGTATTTTCTTGCCTGGTACCAATTACATTCTTTGCCGTATTTTTTCCTTTTTTTTTTTTCTTTCTTTTTTTTCCCATGAATAACTTTTTTAGACAGGTATCTTAAGCAGTATTTTTCTAGATTATTGGGGCATTCCCTCACTACTACTTTCTTGCTGTAATGCATCAACCTTCATTATGCCTCAGTGCAGTGATTTATTCATAACATAATGGACACAGTCTCTGGCTATCTGCTATGATCATCAGTTTTAATACATCTCTTTTAAGTGATTTTTTTTTTTCTGTTCAAATAGATGGAAAATAATAACAGGGACTCAAAGGGTGCACAGGACAAAAACAAAAGCAATCTCTATTTCAAATGAAATGAGAATTACTAGTAACTTGCTTACTTTAGAAAATCTGAAACCATAACAGAGTTTTCATTATTAATTTGGGAATTTACAAGCAGCCAAGGATGGGCAATAATTCTGAATCAAACCTTTTCTGTAAAAGTATTAGTTATTACACAGGAGTATAGCTACAATCCAACTTTGTCAATATGTACAAAGACATTATTAGGAACAGCAAAAATATGGACCTTTGCCAAGATATTCAAGATTAAATTGCCAAGTCTTATTTCTCTTAACTATCCTTAAGTGCTCTCTGCTTTGTAGAAATATATTTTTGTAATCCTATGCACAAGGGTGTCACTGTGACCATGAAAATTTTGGTAATTCTTTTTATCTCAGAAAACTTAGAAAAAACTATGTTGTAAACATTCAGTGCAGAAGTTTATATGTACATCTGTACTGCTCTGTCATCAAACAACTATAAAATACTTCACAGTATATGTAGAAATTTAAAATTTGTTTCTTAAAGGCTAAAACAGAGTCCAAAGAACCACCAGTGTCCCAGAGCCATATAGTGACTTGGGATTATCAGATGAAAATTCCCAGGACATCAATTATAGTTGTTTGCTAATACAGACAGACACATCACATCATGTCTTTCAGAGTCCTCTCATACATAAATCTTCCATTTCATTTTCATAGCAATAATATGTTGGCATCTTATCTGGTGGTGTGCGATGAGTTATTTAATAGAAAAGCAAGTATTACTACCACTCTTTCATTTCCAATGGAAAAGCTCGATGTTTGCAGAAGAAATTCTTTCTTTAAGCCCCCAAGTTCATGCCCTCACCTTTAATATTGTAAAATTTCAGCTTTGGTTAGCCTAAGGACATGTTTTGAATATGATATTCTAGTCCTTCTCTAAATGGAAAATATTTCACATCTGATGTCCCCACATTTCATAGCAAAAATTTTGGAAGCACTATCAAAGTTGCAATACAATCAGTATGACTTCTCTAACAGGTGAGATCCACAAATGGGGAATTTTTATTGTTTCTTGCTTGATTACTGCAGATTTTTTCTTCTCTTCAAAAACAGTGGCAACTTAATTCAACAATAGGAAACTCAGTCTCACACATCAGTGCTGGTAGTTCTTTTCAAGACATCATACAAGAAGTTTTCCTTGTATTTTTTATCACAATCAGTGAAAATTCAAATTGGGCCTTCCAAACAACTTTCTCACAATAGATGTCTTACTAAAAGTGATTATTTTTCATACATAACCCTTCTAGGTGAGAGAACCAAATCTGCCATGGTACTGAGGACCACACTGCCTTGGGTTTTGGTGGGGAATGGGCATGAATGAACAGAAATTCTGAGAAGCCTTCCAAGGAACACACTAATCTAAGGTGAAAAAATACAGCAGGTCCTTGAAATATATAAAATAATTCAAATAACATCCTAAGCTCTCAAAACTTACTAGCCTGCTTTGAATATCTGGAAAGTAAATCCTGCTAAATCCCACATATGCCTGCAACCAGATGTGGAGACTATAACAAAGTATAGCATTGATTTTTCGATTATTTTTTTCCTGTGTTATTTTGTTTCTAGTATTATCTTTCTCCTAACATTTCTTCAGGTTAGTATCTCTGGGGTAGTTTCTTTAGTGGTAACAACAGTGGGAGTGCTGCCTCAAGCAGGAAATAGCAACCATTTAAATAACACACTGCTTACAGCTGCTTAGCACAAACCCAGGTAAGATGACATAGTTGTTAAACTCCTCATAGCCATTACAACTTGCCTACATTTATGCTCCATTCTAAATGCTGAATAGAGTCCTCAGGACAAAGCTGGATTGTTCAGCCTGTTGCTTAGATACTACTTTCACTGGCTTCATATGAAAAATCTACATATACAGGCAAATAAACAGAAAAGTTAATAGGCTGAACCCACGAGAGACGAACAAATCACTTCTTTAGTACTATTTTTTGTACTATATTTGGGGATGGAAGAAACAAATGTGGAATACATAGAACACTAACGTAATGCCAAATGAAAACATCTATGCTTTGGTGGGATGCCTCCTCCATGCATAGCTGTATAGAGGCAGTCTGTCCTAATGAAGCAAGTTGTGTGAATCTGTCTTCATTCAGGTCACTTGGTTTATCTGTGTATGTTCTTGCTGTATAAGGTACATAAGTGAATATCCTGTTTGTTGTCTTATACAGGAGTCACTTAGAGTTTGTGACTTTGCAAAACCAGACCAAAATCAGGATCATACCCTAAAGTCAGAAAATCACTTAGTCACATAAAGTATGGGCTTTATTTCCTAACCCAGAGGAGTTACATTTGCAATGGTTCACATATTCTATTCTGAATGCCCAAATTATATCTAGTGAAAACTACTTTACTAAAAATAGATGCTGTTCTGTACAAGTATTAGATTGGTTCCTGCTATGCCATTTCCTCCGTAGGGAAAAAAAAAAAAAAAAAAAGGAAAATATAGAAAGGAAAAAGCAATTTTGGTGTGTATGTGTGTTCTGCTCTGCTAATATCCAAAAATTAATTTGTTAATTTGTTAGTACCAGTAATTCATGACTTGGAGCAGCATGCTCAGCAAACTGGGTGTTATGTGAAAGCTGACATTTAGAACTTCACAATACTGAAGCATTACCTCTTTTTAATTATGGTGACTCTTGTGATACACATCACAAATTATATAGGATTTTGGAGTAATTCCATTCTGATCTGCTCAGGAAAATGAAATGGCTACACAGATTGCTGCTTTTTCCCTTTTGTTATGCTTTTTGTTAATCCCCTACAAGATAAGTGTGTACTTTCATAAGCTTTGCATTAAGAAATAATTGTGAAAGCAACAGAAACAGAGCAGAATTCAACACCCAGATTCAATACCCAATACCTCTTTGCTGAAGGAAGGAACAGATAGCAAATAATTCTGAATTAAAAACCAGTTATGTTTTGTAAACAAGTTTTCTCTCTGAACTAGCTTTTAATTATTTGGTCCTGCCTTAAGCATTATTTTTTTATATCCTCTTGCCATTTAGTTCATATACTTACTGCAAAAATTAAAAAATCTCCCAAGTTATTTAAAATGGCAAATCAATCTAAATATACACATTAAATGTGCTTTTCATCAATTTCCACTATGAAAGAGTATAAGCTATTAGCTCTGTACCATTTCTCTTGCAACTTCAAGATGAATAATTATGTATATATGCCATTTTTTATATTTCTGAATCTGACTTTTTTATCTGGCAGGTACATAGTAACTGCTGACAGAATTACTTGTCTTTACATTTTTTCTGTAAAGAGTTATTGTAACAATAATGGCATTCCATACATTACATACTGTCTCTAGAATTATCCTACAGTAGATTATAATTTTCCAGACATGAGTTTTGGTGAGAGAGATTGAATTGTAATGATTGATTTCTATGTTTGCTTTTATGAAATGAGCTGTGCTCAAGTATTATCAGTATAAATATGCATATTAAAAAAAACCCACAACTTAATCTTCTCACCAGGAATCACATAATATCAGAGGTGATAAGTGTTCTTT